TTTTTTTTTTTTAAGAGAGAGAGAGAGAGAGTGTGAGCAGGGGAAAGGGGCAGAGGGGGAGAGAATCACACACGGGACTTGATCCCATGACCCTGGGATCATGACTTGAACCAAAATCAGAAGTCAGATGCTCAACCGACTGAGCCTCCTGCATGTCCCTGAACTTTTCTGTTGGTACTCCAAAATCCCTTAAGAGAAGAAAGAAAACTCTCCTCTTTTGTAGGGACAAAGTGAAGAGAAGTTGGTAGGAGTTAGAATCCCTTCTACCTTGATGTCATAGCAGGATAGTTGGACTACATTCTACTGACTTCATTCATTAGGAGTCCCTAACTTTGAGAATTAATAGCAGGTCATTACTTTTCAGGGATTTGTTGTGGTGGTGGTGGTTACCTAATATGGGAGGGAAGGAGAAGATATAATATTTTTAGGGGTAATCTGTACCCCCAGTGTGGGGAATATTTGCTTATCTGTGGTGTGTGAATATACCTGCAGTGAATTTCATAGTCATAGCTGGTCTTCCTACTAACTTCTGAGATTCTTTTGTCACTTTAACTTTTGCCAAGCATCCTTGTTCATAGTTCATCTTGCAACATCTGAACTGCAATCCATTTTACCTTCTACTCACAGAATTGGTGCTGACGATATCTAGTTCTGTCCTTTCCATCTACTTCCCTGTTATCTGTTGTTTCACTTTGGCTTTGTAATAGCAACATCAGGCAGTGCTTTTCTTTGTTCCCCAGTAACACAGGCTTCTGATTTAATGTCAAATCACTTTCAGGTACCAGGTTCATTGTACTTTCAAGCAGTAGAACCTGTGTGTCCTTGGCACCAAAACAAAGAGCTTCTCTTTCATGGTTGCTCTTACGTAGTATTGGTTGTAACCCTTGCCTAGGTGGAGAATCAGCAGAACACAATTTAGGACCATCTGAAGGTGGACAGTTAATTGTCTTCCTTGTGTCTTCAATCAATTCATGATACTATTTGAAATGGGGAATTATCCCCAAGTAGCAGAATATGTTTGGTTTAATCTGTTATGGCTTATAACTGAACATAGTTGTAAAGAGCCCATTAATGTGCATTGTATTAGACCAGGCATTTGAACGTTATAAATAAATTTCCTTGTGTTTTCTCCATAGTTATTCTGACATGGCTGTTACCGGGAACATTCATTTTTCTCTTATTTTTTGTTTTGGTTTGTTTTGTTTTCTCTTATTTTTTAAAACCAAGCCAGAACAGAGGCTCCTGGGTGGCTCAATGAGTTAAGCATCCGACTTCAGCTCAGGTCAGGATCTCACGGTTTGTGAGTTTTAGCCGTGAGTCCGGTTCTGCGCTGACATTGCAGAACCTGCTTGGGATTTTCTCTCTGCCCCTCCCCGCCCCCGTTTCTCTTTCTCTCTCAAAAAACACCCAACGACTTAAAAACTTAAAACAAAATATTGCAAAGTAAATAAATTCAATTGTGCCAGCTGCAAGTAGGCCAAAGAGAACAGTTCGTTCTTAAAGCTAAGCTAATGGGAAAAGCCAGGACAGGGAGGTATCTTGAGTTCAAATTGAGCCATTTTTTAAATTTTGGTAGCAGGTTTCTCTTTTTATCGCTTCCTCAGTAGTTTCAAATTATGATTTTGTATGCCACAGACTTCCATTCCATTTCTTTTTTTTAAAGAAAAAAAATTTTTTTAATGTTTTATTTATTTTTGAGACAGGGAGAGACAGAGCATGAACAGGGGAGGGTCAGAGAGAGGGAGACACAATCTGAAACAGGCTCCAGGCTCTGAGCTGTCAGCACAGAGCCCGACGCAGGGCTCGAACTCACGGACCGCGAGATCATGACCTGAGCCGAAGTCGGCCGCTCAACCGACTGAGCCACCCAGGCGCCCCCCATTCCATTTCTTAATAGCTGTATCTGTTAAGAGTTATTTAGCCCTAGTTGAAGTTAGTTAAAATGGTGCTGTGCACATGTGTGTCAGCATCTGAATCACTTCTAAACTTTTTCAAAACAATACCCTCACCCTAAGATGCTCTGTCTGCTCTTATGTAACAGAAAACTGAAAACACTCCTGACATTGAGAATTACTGGTCTGTGAGATTATTATTTTGTTTTAAAATGTGTGAATGGATTTTGTTTTGGTAAAAGAAATCCCTTGGTGACAGTTCTAGGATATATACTCACAGTATTTGTTAGTAAGGCATAGAGATCTTCACTCTCCTTATAACATACTGTTCCACTTATCAAAAACAGACCTTACTGCTGTTTTCTGTAGTAACTTGTTTTTGTTCTCTGTGTATTAAATGATTGTATCAGCAACTAAAAGTGGTTCTCTTTTGGGGGGCACCTATTATGATGATGATCATCATTGTGCCTATATTGGAATGATGGTGGATTACCAGCTATATACCAAATAATGATTCTTTGCTTCCCTTCAGTCTCCAGAACATGGATTCTAAATTGGCAATGAGGTCCTGATAAACCTTATGAAAATGATATAATTTTCTAGAAAAGGCCCAAGAGAAGGTTGCCTAAATTATTTCTGCCATTTTCAGAAGATTCTATAATAGAGAAGGAATGAGAAAAACAAGTTTTCAGCCAGTATTACACATTTTGTATTAATTATATTTCTACTGAGCTTCCAAAGTACTGGTGTCATTCATTTAACCAATGTGTATTAAGTCCTTACAATATGCCAGGCATTCTTCTAGGCACAAGAGGTACATTAGTGAACCAAGCAAAATACCTTCCTGGGTGGTAATTACTACCACTGAGGAAAGACAATAAACTATTATATAGCAAATTATAAAGTACAGTTTATAAAGTATATAAGTTATATAGTACATTGGAAATAGGTATAATGAGAAAATTAAAAAGAGATAAAAAGGGTAAATAAAGGGAGATCAGAGTTAGAAGGGGTGAGAATTGGGCAGTTGCAGTATTAAGTAGGATGATCATAACAGGCCTCATTTAGAAATGAGCTGCACACAAACACTTGAAGGGTGTGAGGGAGTCTAAGCAGCTAATTTGGGGAAGATAATTCCTAGCAAAGGGAGGGCTAGAACAAGGACCTGAGGGTGGGAACATTCTGGCTTTGTGTAGAACAGCAAGGAGGCCACTGTGGCTAGAGCAGAGGTAAAAATGTTCAGAGGAGTCAGAGACGAGGTCGGAGAGGTAAGAGCAGGGATTGGGAAATCATATGGTGAATGACTTCTTAAGTCACTGTTAGGACTTTGGTTTTCACTCTGAATGAATAAGGAGCCAGTTAAGGAGTGATAAGATCTGCTTTATGTCTTACCTAAGATCACTAAGATCTAAGATTATTCTGACTGCTGTATTGAGAATAGACTAAAGGAGAATAAGAATGGAGGCAGAGAGACCTATAAGGGAGACCACAGAAATTCTAAGGAAGGCATTATTGTAGCTCAGACCCAGTAGCAGCAGTAGAAATAGTGAGAAGTAGAGTAGATCAGATTCTCAGTAGATGTTAACGGTGGAATCACCAGTGGGAATGCAAACTCTGGTGCAGCCACTGTGAAAAACAGTGTAGAGTTTCCTCAGAAAGTTAAAAGTAGAACTACCCTATGATCCAGCATTTGCACTACTAGATATTTACCCAAAGAATTAAAAAATGCTAATTTAAAGGGATACATGCATGCACTTTGATATTTATACCAGCATTATCTATAATAG